TGGCAGGTCCTGGAGAGGGTAAGTTAAAGACGCAATATACCAAAGTGTGGCAGGTCCCGGAGAGGGTAAGTTAAAGACACAATATACCAGTGTGGCAGGTCCTGGAGAGGGTAAGTTAAAGACAGCATCTGCATTCAAAGATATGATATGAATCTTAAGTTGCATTCCTTCAAACAAAATATTTGAAATATTCTAGTGCTATAAGAAAATGCTCAGACCAGTATTCAGTTCCATGATTTATGCCTGCAGTATTAAGAGATGTCTGTCTACTGATGCTGCATGCAGTCTGTGGGTAAATAAGGCAACTCTTGGAATAGAAAAGAAATGAATACCATAGGTTTTACTGTTTTTTGATAGGTTTTATAGGGTCAGTGCTTAAGTATGGCTTGAGTTGAAGTACAAACCAAGTAGTTTTCATTTCAAAACAATCTTTTATTTTTCTAATGCTAGAGACCTTTCTCTCTGATGATAGAGTGCTGTATTTTTACCACTTACTGTACACTTGTTCAACTACATATTTAGGTTATGCTTTATTTTTATTTCAGAGTCATGGCATCTCTATAGATGGTCACATTCTACCCCAGAATTTAACTAGAGAGGTGTGTATGGGACTCTTTAGATCCTGTATTTCTGACAGTCAGGTTTAGTTAAAGATGATTATGACAGATTCTGACAATGGTTTTTTAAAAATTGGAAACATTATCAGTGTAAGTGTCGTAATTGTTATTTTCTCCTCTGTTATTCATTATATATATATATATATATATATATATATATTTATTTATTCCTTTATTTCACTCAATATTTTATTTTTCAGATGACACCAGGAGAGTTTAAATTTGCTATCCAGGTGGAGACAGCGTTCAACCGCATCCCTCAGCCAGAGTACCGCCAGTTGATGGTGGAAGCTATGATGGTATTATGTCTAATCGTAGAGCAGGACACCCAGGCCAAGATTAACCTGTCCTTTGTTATACCTATAGACAGGATAGTCAATGAAGCTAATGATATCTTTATCCAGGATCAGGTAATAGATGATAATCTTGGTATCTTGAAGGATTAAGATATGTCTTATTTTATTTTCTTAGACAGAAAGATGCAGCATTGTAGTACATCATGGTATTTCTTTCTCAAAACTTGACTGTAAATTATACTTCAGACATAGAACACATGTTTGTCATACGAGTCCTTTTATGAATTTCTCTGTTCTTTTATTTGGTTTAAGGCTGTTGCCAACGGTGACGCCACCTTGTGTTGTGCCTCTGAGGCAAGGCATGGTGAACACGAGGCAGCATGCGGAGGAGCTCGCGGGATTTGTCAACATCTCTATGACAGTGCTCCTAGTGGACGGTTTGGTAGCATGACATACTTAGCCCGGGCAGTGGCACAAATGTTGCAATTCCCTGTTCAGGATGGTGAATTAGATTGCACCATCAGCTAGAAAACCATGCAGTGTCCAGTTCAGGATTGCCAACTAGAGTTCTTAAGACATGAGCCAAATTGTACTGTTTAGAATCACCCTTATTGAAGTCATCCTATGAATTTTTAAGTTTATTATTGATTCTTGAAATGCAATTATAACTGATCAACATGCTTTTATTGTGAGTAAAAAAAAATGACTGTATTTGGACCATACACTAGTCTCAGTGCTGAAGGCGAGGCAAATATCTCCTCCCCTTCACCTCTCTCCCCAAACTGGATCTGGTATCACATTGTAACTTCTTGTATTACACTAGAAGACAATGCATATTGCTTATTTTAAATATTTTATTAATAAGCTTTAAATATGTAATGCTGCTTGTATTTATGTTGCCAACATAACTTTTAACATACTACATTAGTTTGAAAATCAAAACCAATTTTTATATTCAGTTTTATTAATTATGTAGCTTTTGATTTGAAAGCAGATAAAAATTGCTGCTAGATGAATGCTGTGGGAGTATTGGTGGACATTTGTACTTTGTATGAACTTCCAAAGTGTATTATAAGCACTTTTTTCTTTTGTATATTGCTTTTTGTCGCTTTTTACTGACACTGTAGTCATGGACTTAACAACAGGGTGATATGTTAGATGATTGAATTGTGCTAAAATACTGTTGAAGTTAAAACTTCAATGTTTGCTTTGTCTCATTGGATTGTTTTTACATTTAAGATTTGTTGGAAAGTTTCATCTTGACCATGGTACCTATAATGGTTGTGATTGTGGTGAATATCTGTATTAGGTTTAATTTCCAGTATCAGTTCCTTTGTGGCAGATTTTTCCTCTAAGAATAATAATGCTTTCATTAAAATGTGCCATGACCTGATTTCATAATTTGAGGCCCATCATAAAAATAGCTTTGATCACACCTCTTGAAATAAATTCTATTGGGAGATTTGCCTTTGGTGAAGCCATCCACTTTTCAGTACAATTGAACTCTTGGTGTGGTGTAACCCATAGGACTCTCGGACCAAGGTTACCATGAGAACATAGGACTACGGTCACCATGTGAACATAGGACTACAGTCACAATGTGAACATAGGGCTATGGTCACCATGTGAACATAGGACTACAATCACCATGTGGTCATAGGACTACGGTCACCATGTGGACATAGGACTACCGTTACCATGTGGACATAGGGCTACCGTCACCATGTGGACATAGGACTAAGGTCGCCACGTGAACATTGGACTCGCATACTAAGGCTACCATGTGAAAACCAAGTTGGGAATCGAGGTGCTAACTGCTTCTAAAAACCAACTACAGATGATGGACAATTTTTCTAATGTATTATTATGTATGTTATCAATTTACCTTGAAATGGAATGAATTTGTGTTATTACAGTACTTATAACAAATTTGTTCATTTGCTAGAAAAATGAACATTTTTAAATCTTCATAGTCTTGTGCAAAGACAAGCAGATAGAAGTGGTATGCTTCATACTTTTTTCCTGAATAAAACTTCATTAACAAAAATCTAGACCCATTTCTGACAGAGGCAACACGGAGTACATACATGCATCAGCAATAGCAGGAAGGAAATAAAAAACATCTGAATTATCCAGATTGATAAATACAGAAGTAAAAAACTCTGTTCATTAGTATATTTAATTACATCTCATCTGGTATAGTCTATATAAAACATTACTCTAAATAACCCATTTACATTTGAATTATGCGCAAAAAACTTGGATGATTGCCTTTCAATTTGATAAATCAAAGTATATCATTGTTATTGATCCCAATGCTGTTTGACTGGCAATCTAGTTCTACCTACACAGACATGAGAGAGTAGAACCCTGTAACCTCATTTAACACATGCCAAAATAAAAGGAGCTCCTGTCAAACCTTTTTTTGAAGCATAATTATTCCATTCTCAAATCTTTAAAAATTATTATGAAAAAAATTATTTGTAACGATGTATTTTATTTTAACCTTACTATTATTTTGTAAAATATCACAAATGTGGTGATAAACTTTTCATTTGGCTTGAATAGCAAAGTTTATAAGAGTTCACAACAGATGTCATGTGTTCCAAGTGCAGCTTTGGTCCCCTGTTCACAGAGCCACTCAATGTGCTACGTCTTCAGCTGATTGACCACCTGAAATGTCAACAAGCACCATGTCAACAATGGGATTCTTTTAAACACTGGGATACAAATGTGTCATTAAACTACCACATTTTTTTCAATGCAAATCATAATCTGTAAAGCTACTCACAATCTCAAATTGACAAAGGCAGGAGAGTGACTCTATTGCTAAGATATAATACCCAGTATATAATTGACTACCAAGATAATCCAATATATATCAATAAAAGAAAAGTACTTTGAAGCTGTGTTGTAATTTATATTTATTTAATACTTCCAGGTAATGTTACCTTGTTGGCAGCTTCTAGAGAAGTGATCAGTTTCTGTAAGTCTTCTTTGGTGAGTTCCATGGAAACTACTCTCTTTGTCTCATCCTCTCGTACATCCAGGTCCACTGATACTAGAGGTTGATGAAGGCTGGCTATCTTATCACTGGACATGGCTAGCTGCAGACAAACAAACAATATGTATTGAGGCACTGGACAAAAATTTCTCTAAATCATCTCATAATCAGATTGGTTAACTAGATGGATATAAAATAGATTTTGAACTGATATTTTCAGAAAACATCCAAAGCCAAAATGGCATCTTAAAACTATCAAAAATACATATAAAGGGTGGGTAAGCTCCCTGTAATGCATATAAACCATTGGTACTAGTTCTTTAAACAACACAAATAATATCCATATGGCATAAAACCAACCAAAATTTATCTATGTGGCAGTAGAAAAAAGGCTGATTTTTTTCCTTCAGTCGATAGGGAACAGAAAGTAAGAAAAAATTATCACTGAAAATACCATCTTTTTGACAAATAATGTAACAAAACTCAAAAGCATTTCTTTTAAGAAATATTACCTGAAATAATGTGGTGGTAATATTTGGTCAGGTTTAGTGGCCATGATTCATCTTTCGCACTCAATATGTATCTTTAATACAAACCTTAAGACTCCAGTCAAAGTCTACCAACTGAGTCCTTGATATTGCACATGTTTCTTGTCTTAAATGTTGTTGCATGTCCTCTCTACGCACCCAAAACACATCTAAAACCTCTTGTTTTGAAGACCCCAGGCCTTCTAAGTGTGCTGCAATCTTGAAATTACAATAACAATGACTGTTGTTTATGATATTGTTAAAACCCAGCAGAAATAACAATGTACTTGAAAGAAAATTTTCTGTTGAAACTGAATACATAATACAACACATTTTCCTTTTTTTTTTACCTTATACTGCCAAGGTACTACCCCTTATGATAAACAACACAATTGTACAAATTCATCAAATTTTTAAAAGACTGTAAAATATATGCCAAGCATCTGTTATCTCTCAATTCTGCATATAACTCCAGATATTATGTCTATATATGTATTACCTCATCTTTGGACCAGATATTCTTTAGAGTATCCTTTGCCAGTTCCTTGAAATAATCACAAACATTCCACCACTCTTCCAAACTCCAGATCTTTGCATAGTCCTGGTATCTCGGGGGACACTTTCCACAAATGCCGTCTATCAATCCATGAAGTAACTGAAGATAATAATAATAATAATGTTTATATTATGCTGGAAAATTCTGAAAATAAATAAAGATCAGTTAATCTGTATTTGTTATCCACTGATACCAGTGACTGGATTATGTGGCAGAGCTACTTGGAGTCCCTTTTCTGAAAAAGTGATAGTTTGGAATGGTGAAAAACAGCAAGTGTCTAAAAATAGCAAGCTAATTTGACATGTCTTCTAGTATGTAATGGGAGTCTTTTAAAGATATTTAACTGACAAAGTGACAAAGAGTTTCATTTTTCTTCAGAAACATAGTATGTCTGTCAATATCGAGTTTTGAGTCAAAATATATATCCCTCACAATCTGACACTTGATTCGGATCTTATATACACTTTCCATAAAAATTAATGCATGATACCTCTCCTGACTCCCCCCCCCCCCCCAAAAAAAAAAACAAAAACAAAAACAAAAACAAAAAACGGCTATTATTTCCCTTCAGTTTCAATGAATGTAAGCTATATGTCTATAGTTTGTGCATCAATTTAAAATCTGTTTTCAGCTATCTGAAATGCAAGTTTGTAGTACCTAATTGTGTTATCACTAGCATATTTTTTCTTATTTTTTAACGTTTTTACAAGAAGCTTCGAACCCATTCAAATATATGGGTGTGGAGGTAGTTTCAGGGATGGGCATCGAAAATTCTTTAAGTAACCTTAATTTAATTTAATTCAACAGCAGTCAGGCACAGATCACAGTCACCATATAACTGGGAAAAATCCTCGAAAATTAAGGACTTGCATGTATAAGTTTAGGGTATATTGCACAAGTATTTCAACAGTTAGAATGAGTTATAGAAGAATTATCCTTTGCTGAGGTATACTTCCCATAAGCTGGAGCATAGAAGTAGAGAAAACTTCTATGGCTGGAGCTACGACGGCACAAATATTACCACTGTAAAAAGTGTGATAAATCAAAATAAATACTCTACATTCTACTTGAAGACACGCATTCCACTCATATTTAAATCCGGTAAAGTAAAAAGAGGTGAAAAGTACGAATACCGTTGATATCTGATTCTGGGGGCATTTTTCTAACAATTTTTGTTGAGGAAATCCTCCCTCTTCAGCCATGACAGTTCTTTAACCTACCTTACTTCGAGAAAACTATTTTGATTGGATTAAATTTGCAAGGTCATAAGAAGGTCAACAAATGAAATAGGGCGATACACACTGACTATCCCGGAAATAGCGTGGCTGAAAACAAGACTTATGTAGATAATGACAGCTGAGTCCTTGTGTTCAGCAAATCGCCTAGACAATCTTTACAAAGAATGTGGTAAGTCAAAGGTTCTTCTTTGTTGCTTTAAATTAGGGTGAAAATATTAACTCTGATTTTTTTTATAAATTTGATTGCAAGTCCGGTAGACAAAAGAAAATAAGTATGAAAACGGGTTCAGTGTTCTGATATCTAGCCTTGAGCCAAGTTAAGCTTGAAGTCAAGTATCCCGTTGCTTTCTTGGTTTCAGTTTCAGTCCAGTGTATGTTGTTTACATGGTTTACAGTTCTTGTATCGTAGATATGTCCTTAGCATGGAGTGGTACCGTGGAAGCCTTCACCTGGTGATTTGATATAATTATCGTGGTATGAACAGATCCGCGTTAATAGGCTGTTAGTGCAGGTATTAACTTGAGAAGGGCTGTTTGTAGTAATCATTGTTGAGGTTAATTGTACACAACTTTTTAATGTAATACTAAATAATATGTAAAAGTAGACAATGTGTAAAGTGGTATTATTAGGCCATAATATGTTTGTAAACAGAGATATGACACAGACCACAACTGCAATTACACATGTACCATAATAGTAAAAAAAATATTATTATATGCAGATTATATGCAAATTGATTAATACATGTAGCATTAATATGGCTATCCCTGCTATAATTGAAAGATGAATGAATGTGATTTTCATTACTGTAAATTCCCCTTTGTTCCTTTTGAATAGAATGGACCGANTAACAGTTTTTTCAAATTATGAAAATTGTACCCCTTACAAAAATTTGCATTTTTAATGAGCGCAAAATGCAACTTACACAACTGAGGCTAAATGAAGAAAGGAAACTGATCTTATAAATGTACAGTCACTCGGTACTTTTGACAGGAAACTGATCTTATAAATGTACATCCATTGTGTATTTTTGAGTATAGCATACTAGTAACTCGGAGTGATAGCCATTATTAGGACTGGAGATATATGGACATCCCCAGGGAAGTCTGCTGCTGGTTTATTATTTACCTGGTTATGATGACTTTATGCAACTTTAAAATGCCATTAAATATCTAAACCCATCTCTGAAAAAAATGATTTATCAAAATAAAGTTCATATAATACAAAGGGGTTTACAGATTTAAATTTGACCACTTGTTAAAAAAATATACTCAGGTAAGCTTTATGTTATAACAAAGCTCAGAGGTAATGATGAGAACCAACAGGTTTATTTAGGACAGACTTTAATTATTACCAAGCCCCCTGGATTATGCCAGCTAGTATCAAATTTTGAACCCCAGTATTTCTCATCCTATGGTGATTTCTAACAGTCTTGCCCCCCCCCCCAAATACTAATATATGTTTTACTTGAGAGCAGATTAGTGTGCATGTATATCAAAAACACCAGGAGTTTTATCCCTTTCTACATTATTTTCAATTTAGAAATTTTATGATCATACTTTTCACAAGTATATGACATGCTGAGAGGGGGATGCTAGCTAACATATAATAGAAATTAGGCTGAAAATGCTTTTTGGTTCATTTCCAGTGTGCTGTTCTAATTAAGTGGAGCAAAAGAATATACCAGACTGTGTTTGATTATTTTTCAGTTTTTTCTTTGGTTCTAAAACAAACAGCTTCTGAAGCTTTTCTACTTGTGGTTCTTTTAGTTACTTGATTGACAAGTTGTTGTAAACACAGTAAATGTCAGGTTCATATGGCAGTGGCTCCCAGGCAGTGATCCTTTTCCACACAGCACCAACATGGGAGGGGATTTCTCATGTTAAATGCTGGTCCTGCTAACTGTTGTTTAATATCAGCAGTAGGAAGTGAGTGTCTCTCCATGCAATTAAGGAGGATTTTCTTACACATCTGTCTAGGCCAATACTTACAGAGCTCAATGAAGAGAGATCGATGGTACTCGAGATATATGGAATATAAGTAATGTCATTCTTGCGTTTGTTGAAGGGCCTCGACATCAGTGACTGAAAAGAATTTAATATTCCCAGTGGTTGATAAGAATGAGTTCTGGCTTAGGTTAAGTTATTAAAATGGTCAATTTTGTTAATAATTCAAGTGAAAATATTTTTTTATAGATTTTGAAAAAAAAAAAAANCCAGATTGGTCTAACAACAATTATTTTGGCATCATAACTGAGAACCTAGTTTAAAGTGGCTGCTAGCAATCCTGTGTTGTCCTGTCCACTGCCATTGTTATGAAGTCCCTTGTAGAGTTGGACCCCATTTTCATACCTAGATTGATCTAGCAGGATCGGCCCATCTCTGAGGGGATTCTTACTAAATTGCATTCAGATAAAGCGGCTTTGATGTCTGGCACGCCTAATGAAGCTGCTAAATGATAGTTAATTACCCTCTTACAGTAGGCGTGCCAGACATCAAGAGTGACTTAAGCTGAATGTAATTTAGCGAGAAACCCCTAGGAGATGGGTCGATCCTGCTAGATCGATCTAGGTATGAGAATGGGGTTTTAGATTGGCTTTCCTTTCATGAAATGGGGAATGATTAATAATTAGATAAGTCCTTTGTCTCTGAGATAGATCTGAGTAAAGGTGTTTCTTTGAATGATTTGAAATATGACAGTAGTAAGTACGTTTGCAAGAATGTTACATGAATTAAGAGACAAATAAATGAAAAGTGTTTTCAGTGTTAAATAAGATTACATTTGCGTGTGTTGGTATGTTGGTTACAAAAGGATTGTGCTGTTACTTTACACCCATAAACCTTTTACAAACTGGGTCAGAGCAGTCAATCTTTAGTTAACCTAAAAAATAGGACTACAAAGGCCAACAGATTTAGAAAACACTTAGTGAAGTGAGCTGGACTGTCAGCTTTTTTAAATAACTTCTATGCTCACCATTCACTCTCTGTGAACACTGGATGGTTGTGACAGGGCAGGGATGTTTTCATCCATTAGATAGTGCAGTATAACCTTTCACATGGTATAACCTCTCTTCCTCTAATACACAGATGGTGTTTGACCTGTATTTTCTTTGGCACATGGACTCATAAGGTTATAGACAGCTCCTGGAAACTATGGGAACATTATTCCTTCTATGTTGTGCACAGTATTGTTAAAGGTGTACTAGTAGGTGTTCATTCTTCTGTGTGGTGCACGGTATTGTTAAAGGTGTACTAGTAGGTGTTCATTCTTCTGTGTGGTGCACGGTATTGTTAAAGCCTACTCCATAATTTCAGAGTTTAGAGTAGTAGGTAGAGGTGAATGATATATTTCAAAACCTGTATTTATGATTTGTAGGTCTATCTGTGTGGAATCTGCAGTGAGATTGAAGGAAAAAATATGAGAAAATAAATGCGACCACATTTGTAATGTGATTAGCTATTGTTAAATAAGACTACTTCCTCATTGCGACAAAAATAACCCTTTCCAAGAAAAGAGGTCACATTCCTTGCCAAACAGTATTTTACAGTTATATCTTGTAGATTCAGATTTTAAAAGCCTTTAAGGCTACACAAATTTTTATGCGTTTGCATGAATTTTTAATCCAGCATATAATCTGGGTAGTAGTTTACACATTTAATTTACAAATCCCTTTGTTAAGTGGAAGGTAAGCTAATGATAGTATTATATATTAAGTTGAACCAACTGTTTGGTTTGTACTGACTTGCATGCTTTTATGCAATTCTGGTATGAAATTAACTGAAAATAAGGCTACAGAGGCTGGGACTTTATTTCATGCATGTTGTATTTCATACACAACATGCATGTATAGCCATCAATGGTGGACAAAGTGAACCTTTTACCATGAACTTTTGTTTACCTATATCAAATTTATCCAGAGCCTACTTTTCTTGGCAAAAAGGGCAGTTTGTTCAAATTCCCCTCCCCCCCACACACACACCTTGGTTACAGGCCTGCACTACAACCTGCCCCCTCTGCTGTGAAAACAAAACAAGTAAACCCCTAAATTGGCCTAAAAGTGGCTCAGTCCACTAGGTCCACTGGATCCAATAGGTCTACCAGGCTCCTTAGGTCTGCCAGGTCCACTAGGTATAATCAGGTCCACTAGGTCACCAGTTCTACTAGGTTCACTAGGTTTCTTAGGTTCACCAGGTACACCAGCTCTACTAGGTCCACTAGCTCTACTAGGTACAACCAGGTCCACAAGGTCCATCAGATCCACTAGGTTCACCAGGTTCCTTAGGTCTACCAGGCCTAGTAGGTCCACCAGATCCACCAGATCAAACAGAACAGACATCATTAATAAAAAGTCTGTTCATGTCATTTTTATCTGTCACGTGACCTTTCTATGCTAATAATTGGTAGTTCATTTCCTAAGTTATGTAAAAGTTCTAAGGAATCAAACTCTCCAGGCATATCAGAATGCTTTTGATTGTAACTTTGTTGCTGTATAACCTAGTGATGTTTTATTCCTGAGAAAAATGGAAACAAAAAATCAAGAAAAATTGCCAACAAAAAGACGGAGACAAAAATAAACAGAAGAATGTCAGGTCACAAAGTCTAACTACATACTGTTAGTAAAATAAAATTGGATATCTTGTGAATGTCCTGCACAGTGAATAATGTCTGTATATAAACCAGTCAAATGTATAATGCCAGTCTGTAATTATTCAAGAAGATATGGAAATGGTGATTAAATATGTCTGCAGTAATATAAAGTGTCTATATATTCATGTCCAAGTTCAATTATCAAAGTTAATAGCTAGACCTACATATGTGTGGGCACATCTGCCCAGTATCTGCCTCAGATATTCTTTCTTCTTGTCTATATTGGTTAGCAAGCTGGCACATGTCATTGGGGAAATATCGGCACCAATGTTCCATGTTATGTTTTACTGCTGATTACAGTTGAATTATGTGGAGGAAAACTTTGGTATTTGGATTTAGTTGGTAAATATATCATTGGTCTGATTCTGCATATTTGGGTTGTCTCAAACCACTCCGTTATTTGGTTTTATAAAAGAATCTTGAGTCTATCAGCACATATGATAATATGCTCTCTTTATCAGTAAACTGCCCCCTTTAGATAGATATATGTAGTAAATAATGCACTGTCCACGAGCCCCATATCACGATAGCAGGCCGAGCGGCAGCGAGGCATGCTATCGTGGATATCGGGCGAGGGGGTAACAGTGCATTATTTGTCATACACACAAAGGGAAATCGTGCGTGTTCCCCACCCAAAACCCCTAACTTTGAATAGAACACGCTGATATCACCGCGCATGGGGTGATATCAAAAAATGGACTTTCCCCGCGTTTACTGCCTAATTGCGGTCACCGTCCAATCATCTTCGTTTGCGTTAGTGGTTTTCTGAGTAGTTGGCCGATTTCCTACCCATCTTCCCCACGTGGCAGTCACTCCGTCTCATTCATTGTATCGGTCCCTGCAATCCTTTTGTTTTGATATCAGCCCCGTGGTATGTATATATATATATATAGTATACATGGTCTGTAGCTAACCTTTATCTTCTACATCTTACCTTTAAGTTAATTGTGCTATCAGAAGGGGTGGACTTGGTCTGTTGAACATGGACAGGGAATTATCCTTCACATAATTAATATACTTTGTAAATGTGTATAAGTTTGTGCTGTTGAAGGGGTAGGAGATTTTATCAGAGACATTTTGACAGGCTAGTGCTTTGTCATGATTAAGTGCCCATTGTTAACTGAATGTGTGAGAGTTGATGATATTGGTGTAGTATTTAATCTGAGTCTTAATGTGAGAGTTGATGATATTGGGGTAGTATTTAATCTGAGTCTTAGTGTGAGAGTTGATATTGGTGTAGTATTTAATCTGAGTCTGAGGGTGAGAGTTGATGATATTGGTGTAGTATTTAATCTGAGTCTTAGTGTGAGAGTTGATGATATTGGGGTAGTATTTAATCTGAGTCTTAGTGTGAGAGTTGATGATATTGGTGTAGTATTTAATCTGAGTCTGAGGGTGAGAGTTGATGATATTGGTGTAGTATGTAATCTGAGTCTTAGTGTGAGAGTTGATGATATTGGGGTAGTATGTAATCTGAGTCTTTGACCCCATTTTCAGAGATTAGATTGATCTACTTTAGATCGACCTAACTCCTCGGGGTTCACGCTAAATAGCTGTCAGCCGAGCGGACACGAAAGTTAATTACCCCCTTACAGCTTGTAGTAGGCGGGACGGACATTTAAGCCAGATTATCTGACAGTAATCTAGTGAGACTCGCCGCGGGGATAGATTGATCTAAAAGTTCTGGGAATACAGCCTTAGTGTGAGAGTTGATGATATTGGGGTAGTATTTAATCTGAGCCTGAGGGTGAGAGTTGAAAATACTGGTTTTGATTATACGGGAGATTTGTAAATTGTGGTCATTTTTTAGAGAACTTATTTGGGAAGACACATACATTTTTATGCCATATGTCCTTTTTTGGCCAAAAATCTCCAATGTCATCACACCTTCTTTTTAATAGGTGTCATAAAACATAGTAGGCATATTTGTGAGGCTTCCTTTTAGTAAGTCAGACACTGTCCTACACAGCACCAAAATGTCCCATCTCTGAAAAGATTTTATATTTAAAGAAAACCCCTCGTATTTTAGCCAATATTATATTTAAAGAAAACCCTTCATATTTTAGCCAATATTATATTTCAAGAAAACCCCTCATATTTTAGCCAGTCATGCATTAAAGTCTTTGAATTATAGCCCTCTGTTGTTCAGCAGACAGAAGGCAATTTCATTAGACATTTTTATATTCACTGCACTTGGATCTTTAATTATTCCATCTAGCTTCATAACAGACTTTACTACCAAGAACAGAGCGTAGGATGACACTTCACTTGATTAATCACAGTTGTAAGTCTCTGGCTTACAGCTTACTCATATGTTTGATTTTCATTTCAGAGTGAACATGGAAGGCCTGATAGCACGCTTCAAGACAGGCAACCCAGTCTTTGGATCTAGGCAAGGGGCTAGGAAAAGATGTCAGCCAAAAGATAGAAGACTGATCATTCCAAACCATTTAATACCCAGCGATGTCAACCCCAGCGCACATCCTAACAAGGCGTACGCTAGTAATCGAATTAACACCACAAAATACACCATCTTGACATTCCTACCAAAGAACCTATTTGAACAGTTCCACAGGGTGGCCAACTTATATTTTATTTTTATAGTTTTATTAAATTTTGTGCCTGAAGTCAATGCATTTGCCAAGGAGATTGCCATGTGCCCAGTGCTGTTTGTGCTAGGAGTGACTGCACTGAAAGACGGATTTGAAGATTATCGCCGTTATAAAGCAGACAAGGAGGTGAACAAGACCAGTTGTAGGGTGTATTCCAGGTAGGATATTAATATCTAGCTTGCTATAATCCTCAAAGACATTGACAGTTGTAGGGTGTATTCCAGGTAGGATAATAATATCTAGCTTGCTATAATCCTCAAAGACATTGACAGCTCCTAAAAGACATTAAGAAGAATGGCATTTTGTTATAAGTTTGTTCAAAGTTGCCAGTGCAGCAGTGCCCCAAATGGTGCACAGTTACACTCCCTCTAAGTGTTATGACTATGACAAGTGAAGTATTTCACACAAAAAAAAATACTGAACAAAAATAGCGAAGAACATAAAATGTACTTTTCCTGGAGTGAGGCATGCACATTGGAGTTAACCAAAGAAGCAAATTGGCCTGCACTATTACAGATTTTTCTCCCTGTTTGGCCTAGATGTTCTGGTGGCAAAACAACTTGGCTTGGGGAACAGAGGCACAGATATTTAAGACATAGAAAGATGTTACTGACTACCAGGATGATTAATAGTGTTTGAGTGGTCAATAGCCTTTGTTGCTCTTCTTCAGTAACAGGAACAATACATGAAATATTTCACAGATTTACCAAATGTTTAACACCTCTAACAGTATCAAGTCAGGAGAAGAAAGGGAATATGATTATAAACCTGCTGACTGTTTTCATGACTCTTTCTAAAATGTCTATTGAGCTCCTGTTTTCTCAGGCTCTACAATCAATAGTCCTGGCAATATTTGGTTCATATACAAGCCAGATGCTAGCTTTTTGTGGATGGGAACTGGAAAACTGTTGTTTACATAGCACAGAATATTGGAATTGTAATGTAGAATGTCTCTGTCCTTCTTCAGTTTATTTAAATGTGGTAACTTTGCTCCAATCAGTGTGGTGATTGCAGTGTAGGCATGTTCATATAAGGACTAAATAAGGCCAGAAATAGACAACCTGGTTTTATTGCAGTATAGGCATGTTCATATCAGGATTAAATAAGGCTAGAAATAGACTACCTGGTATTATTGCATTGTAGGCATGTTCATATCAGGACTAAATAAGGCCAGAAATAGACTACCTGGTATTATGAATTGACCAGGTGTTTTAGAAACAAGAATGGTATTTAAAAGTCTCAGATGTTGTGGGGTTCATATACAGATGTGACAGTATGGTAAAACTCTAATAAAGCAATAGTATGATCACCATCATTGTGATGATGAGTTCTTCAAAACAACTTAGTCTATGTGCAGTATATATTGAATTAATATGGCAGTGTTTAAAGGGATAATAACTCTTCGTTTCGGCCAAAAAATGAATTTTCCTGGAGTAAACAACAATTTTCCCATACTTACCAATGGTTAATGAATCCATTTTTACATTCAAAGTTAGTCCCTGGTTTTTTTTCTAAAAAGTTTGTTTTTTTGTTAAAATCTCTTAAGAGATTTTAACAGAGTATAGCCATCAATGGAGGTCACGTGGTCTGAAGACAAGCTCAGATATCAGAATAATAGCTATAACTGCTGTTTTTGTGGTAAAACAGAATATATTATATTTCTATGAGTTATTCACAATGTTTTTGTTGTGAAATATAGATCTCATACGAAGAGTTATTATCCCTTTAATGAATTGTAAAATATTCATGGTGTCCTGTGTTATCAGTGTGATAGAGGATATGAACCACTTGATCTTGGGGCAATATTGTATTTTTAACCTCAATAAAAGTGTGCAGGAATGCTGAGGGCAGTATTTTACTATCTTTGCTTTTGGTGCATTATTTCTCATGTTCAGATCATTGGGAAGGAGTGTCTCCTATTAGCTTTGGTGATAATTGGACACAATTTACAGTAATGTATCAGACATGAGTTTTTTCTGCAGAACCACGGAATTCAGCGTTTTTTAATTCAGCTCTGATGTTTCCTGAGATTCGTCAAGATCTGCAATAAAATAGGTGTTGGGTCCCATGATAAATGTTCAGAGTTTTTAAAACCTAGCCTATATATATATAGCTTTGGCATAGATTCTAGATCCTCAGGTGTAAAAATTTAGATAATTAAGTTAAGTTAATGTAGACTTCATTAAACTTAATATATATATATAGCTTTGGCATAGATTCTAGATCCTAAGGTGTAAAAATTTAGTTAATTAAGTTAAGTTAATGTAGACTTCATTAAACTTAATATATATATATATATATATATATATATATATATATATATATATATATATATATATATATATATATATATATATATATATAGCTTTGGCATAGATTCTAGATCCTAAGGTTTAAAATTAAGGCAGACATCATTCAACTTTAGAGTAGTTTAGAGGCACATTCCTCTAGCTAGTTTTATGTCATTTTTCATATAGAATGATCACTATATGAGATTCAAATCATTACTGGTGTCTTGATTTTTTAAATAACTGTAAAACACACAGGCAATTTTTTAAAGGAAAAGATGAAGTGCTTGTTGTGGTGACAGTTACAGGTTATTGTGAGTATTGAAGGTTGTTTTAACAACTTAAAAGTTCTCCAAAGTAAATTTGCAGGAACAAAATAATTTGTCATTGAGGGGAATTCTGAGTTTGAAATACAAAATACTGGTATGTCACCTTTTGAACTGAACAGCAGACCAAAGTCATGTTTCCAATCACATTGGATCAAAACACCCTTATATAAGCTGTCCCAGCCGGTCATTGCAGCAAGTCGTGATAACAATCAACCTACCATAGAAAGCTAAACTGATATCTTAGTTGTCCCACCCATATTGGTTTTCTATGGGGATAAAATATTATCTGAAATACTCCTGATGTGGATGGCATCAAGTCAGGCAGACCCAAGTTGACTGAAAATTAACACACCTTGACACTCCCACAGAGTTGATAGAATCAATGTCCTGTTTAATTTCCTCACCTCTGACACATAATGTAGCCATTATAATCACATGATGTTTTCATTTAGAGCAGTTTTAGTAAGTAAATGCCACTTGTTTAGTAAATTGTAGAAACTGTTTGAAATATAGAATAAAGGTCTTAGTGGCCACATAAAAACCTACTAGTATATAAAAGTGTGATTTTGTAGAGATTACTAATCTGTTATGATGTCCTCTGATTATAACGGTTAAGCAAGCTCAGGACTCATAAATGATAATTGCTAGTTGCTTTCACAAGCCTCTGATTTTGGAACTTGAATGTCCAAATTAACGACTTGTGTCATGATGAGTTCCCACAGCTAGTGTGTTTATAAGAATTGAAGCTGTGTTTTCAAGTCCTTAAGTAAGTCCTCTCTAGAAAGAGTAGTTGAGCTAGCTATTTCTACTGATGCCATTCGACTGTGCTCATGCACAAGTCTTTCCTTTCTGATCCACATGACCATGATGACTGCTGTTTAGATTTAGTGCTATTTATTGATCAGATCATAGCCATGCAGTACTTGTAGAGCTTCTAAGTTACATTTGTGATAAAGCTTTTGATGTGAAGTTTAGATTAAGACAGTTAAACTTGGTCATATATTACATGTTATATATAATATTTATCATAAAGTGTTAAATCATTCAAAAATTGATTGACATTTCTCTTCCTCTCATCAATAATATTCCACTTTCATTGACCCATTTTTGTTCAGAGTTTTACCAATTTTTCCTTGCATAATGTCAGTTACCTTCATCATTGCAGAGATGAGGGTAGATATGCACGCTCCAAGTGGTCAAGTATTAAGGTTGGAGATGTTGTCCATTTGTCATGTAACGAGGTCATTCCAGCGGACATCTTGCTGCTCCACTCCAGTGATGAGCAAGGAATTTGTCACATTGAAACTGCCAACATTGATGGAGAAAACAATCTCAAGCAGCGGGAAGTTGTGCGAGATATCCTACAAAAGGTACCTTGTTATAATATTTCCAATGTTATTAGAGGTATTAAATTAGATGGGTGATATTTGTGTGGGGAAATTTGACAAAGAGTAACCAAAGTAGTTTATAATGAAACTCCAAGTGATTCATCAATGTTAATTTTCTCTCTGACTCTACTTTCCCAGTTGTTAATAAACTTAACCCTATATATACTTGCTAAATATTTATTTCTAGAAAAAGAAATTTGATTAAATTTTCCATAGATTATCATAACTACTTTTGTGTTATAATTTTACACTTCTTTCCCTTGTTTAGAGAGAGATGAAATGCCAGCTAATCCTGTTTCATTGTTACGGATGTATGACAGGAGAATTATTTTTAGTAATAAATAACAATGTACAAGGTCAATATATATATATGTATATATATATATATATATATATATATATATATATATATATATATATATGCACAGGAATGAATTGTTATTGTATGTACAATATGTTATTGCCCTCAGGGTGAAGAGTTCAACCTTACCAAATTCAGATGCACAGTAGAGTGTGAACACCCAAATCCAGAAATCTATAAGTTCCATGGATCACTGTGAGTAAAACTGGATTATTAACCATTGTTATAAATCTCTGCAAGAGTTTCTTAATTAGATCTATCCCAAAGTATTTAATATCTGTAATCCTCTCGTCCAGCTGTCTCCAGAAGGGGATTATTAATGAACAGGATGATATTCAGTCTTGAAGAATTTTGTCACAGCCATTTTGTTCTTTGACAATTTGACAAGATGTTAAGGCATGTAAAATATTCACATAATTATTACAACCAATTTTTGGAGTAACTGTGGGAGTTAGCTTTTGTGCATTTTTATAGAAACTATGGCACATTTTATTTTTAAAATTTGTGTTTACAAGTGGTAGGGTTTCTGTCCAGTGTCAGACAATTAAGATGACTACACTGAATGCACTTTATTGAAAACCCCCTGCAGAGTTGGATCAATCCATCTGGATCGATCTAACTCCCTGGGGACTCTCACTAAATTGCTGTCAACCTAACCGGCTTAAATGTCTGTCAGGCCTATCAAATCAGCTAGGGGGTAAAGTTAATTACCCCCTAACAGCTGTACTAGGCGTGACAGACATTTAAGCTGGTTAAGTTGATAGCAATTTAGTGAGACTCCCCAGGGAGATAGATTGATCCAAATATCTGTGGGAATGGCCCCTGAGTAACAGTGTAGTATAATTCCAGTATTGAGCCCACCAATGAACACATCCCCCTCAACAAACACAATGTGGTACTCAGAGGGTGTGTACTGAGGAATACAGACTTTGTAGAGGGACTGGTAGTATATGCAGGTATGCTGAACCAACTAGAGCTAAAATAACAGAAAATATTAACATATGGATATTAGTGGATTTATTATTTACAGAATTTATAAGATATAAACTATAAAAACTCTGCTTAGCTTTTAGTCTGAAGACTACAGTAATTCTTTAAAAAATGTTTAATCAGAGCTTAACTCTTTGTAATGGACTGCTATTTCCAATCAAGTGCCAGAGTTATTATTATTATTTATTTTATTTATTTTATTTATTTATTTTTTTTTTGTCACTATTTAAGGTCATGAAACCAAAGCCATGTTGAACAACCGTGGACCTCGTTACAAGCGTAGTCAGCTGGAGCGCCAGATGAACAAAGATGTCATGTGGTGTGTGGTGATCCTTCTCATACTTTGTTTCTCTTCTGCCATTGGTGAGTTGTTACTTTGTATCTTTCTCATACTTTGTTTCTCTTCTGCCATTGGTGAGTTGTTACTTTGTATCTTTCTCATACTTTGTTTCTCTTCTGTCATTGGTGAGTTATTACTTTTTATACTTTGTTTCTCTTCTGCCTTTGGTGAGTTGTTTATATCCTTCTCGTATTTTGTTTCTCTTCTGCCATTGGTGAGTTGTTTATATCCTTCTCATACTTTGTTTCTCTTCTGCCAATGGCAAGTTGTGACTTTGTCTCTTTCTCATACTTTGTTTCTCTTCTGCCATTGGTAAGTTATTACTTTGTATCTTTCTCATACTTTGTTTCTCTATTTCTCTTTATTCCTATTATTTTCAGGGAGTGGTGTGTGGCTGGGCAGTTTTGACAAAGCCAAAATAATTTATGTCCAGTTTAGTGACTTAGACCTCTATTCTCCTCTATACCAAGGCTTCATAGTATTCTGGACATATGTCATCATCTACCAGGTAAGCAGAGCAGGAGTTGACATGATCTAAGTCTTGATTGGAATTGATGTTACTTGATGTAACTTGATCATTTTTCTTTGAGCTCAAACAATTCTTTCAATATTACAAAAACAACATGAAAAATTGCTTAAAAGCTGTTCAACTCTTCATTTTGATAAAGTTTATTATATGAAGGGGTGATGGGGTGTGTGGGGGGGTGGTAAAGAACTGCAGGTAAGACCTATTATCAAGTTGGAATGCTTTGGATGGTAAGAAAATACAAATTCAAAATGATGTTATGTTATTACATTTCCAGGTAATGATTCCTCTTCCATTATATGTAACCATGGAGATAGTAAAACTAGGTCAGAGTTATTTCATCAACCAAGACATGGAAATGTATGACCCTGATTCTAACAAACGCATTGAATGCCGAGCTCTGAACATTCCTGAAGAGCTGGGCCAGGTGCAGTACATCTTTTCCGACAAGACAGGAACCCTGACAGAGAACAAGATGGTCTTCAAATGTTGTACTATAGGAGGGATTCATTATCCACATACAGAAGGTATATGTTTTTACTATTGG